CGTAAGTTTTTTTTTCGTAAAATATGTCAATATTAGTTGGCTATTTTTGAAATTCACTATTCCAAAAAATGAAAAATAAATACAAATATATTTTTATATGTATTTCTTTACGCATATTCAAAAAAGTCGTAAAGATAGAAGTGTTAAGATAACAATTTAATCTGTCAAATAATGATTTTAAAAATGATAAGAATAATTTTTGTAAAATTGAGAATAAACTTAAAAATTCTAAATTTTCAGTTGTACATTTAAGAAAGTAGCAACGAGGTAAGATGTAATTACGAAGGATAAGTAATCACTGCAGTCACAACAATTATTCATATATTCTAAAATCTATAATTGTTTTTTAAAAGTTTTACTCTTAATTTATTAAGAATATGAAAAATAATATTTATATTTATTAAATTCTGATCCTAAAAAATCAAACTTGTGTGTGATAAAATAGTGAATTCATATTTATTGAAAATGAAAAACTTTTAAATTTAATACTCAATTGAGGATTATTATTAATTTAAGGTAGAAAATTTTACTTAAAAATGAATTTGTAATCAGAAAAAAAATAAATAGCTTTTTAATAATACTGAAAATGAAAATCATTAAAAAGACTTTTTCAAAATTTGAAAAATAATCAATAAAAAATTTTATGCAAATTAAATAATCCTCTTTATTGAGTATAAACACTTAACTTTCATATTTTGAATGATAAAAATAAGACTTAAGCAAGAGTAAACCTTCAATTTATTGGAAAAAATTGACTATTTAATAAAAAAATAGTAAGTAAAGGGCATGAAAGTAAATGAGATGCTAGCTCATTTAAATAAGATAATTTTCACAGAAATACGATATAGTATTAACTTCAATAATCCTTAATTGAGTATTAAATTTAAAGGTTTAAATAAGAGTTAGCAAAAAGCTTTTAAAAAGTTACTTTTGCTTTAGACAGCAACTGTTATCTTATCATCTACTGACGTCTTGCATATTTGAGCAATTGGTCTTAGCCTCAGAAACCACAAAACCAATAATAACTGAACCAAAATAAACAATATTCACTAGCTAAAAATCTTATTTAAATTCAAAATTTTTAAAATATCAATCAAAATTTTGTGATTTAAAAGTAAAAAACATGAAATATTTTATATATGTAAAAGTAAGAGCAGAAGTAGTATTAGCATCATGTACATAAGGCTAACAATAACAATAATTGCAATAATGATAATAGTAATAATTAATTAGCAATAATAGTGATAATAATAATAAGTTGTAGTATTACAAGCTTGTCCAGACTAAATTCTGAATGAGTCAAGATAAATTATTTACTTAGTTAAAAGAATATTTATGAAAAATTTAATGATTCTAATTTACTATAAGCAATTAACAATTAATTAATGAATTAGCAGGTTTAAAAAATACTTCATTGAAGAATAGTAATGAAATTATTTATTTCTTTTTTTTATCCTGAAAAATTTATAACAACAAAAGCAACCTATAACATACAGTACACACTTTTTACTTTACTATTGTATAATTATGAATTATACATATTTTAGAACGATATATTAGTTTCCTGCCTATGTTCATCAACCAAAATTTGTACTACTGTACTGGAATTTTAAATTTAACAATTAGATAATAGATTTGTATAAATATCAAAATTAAAAAATCTAATCAAAACATTTTAAATTTACGCATTCATTTTTGACTCTTTTTGTATGTTAGAGAAACAATACAAAATTTCAAATTTGTTAGTAATAAAATTACGACATTTTTAAATTATCCAACAATTTGTTAATTTAGAATTCAGAACAATACAAATTCTAATAAAATTGCAGTTATTTAGTTCATCATAAAAAGAGTTCTTACAAAATTTATTTTTGAATACAATATCAATCAGTAACTAAAAAATCATCTTGTAGATATTTAAGATATATTAAAGAAATACAGCAAAATACTTATTAAAGTCAATTTTTTTGGTATATATCCAAGATAAAGCAATCATATTAATGATGCAATTCGTTAAGATTCATACTTAAATAACAAATAATTATTGAATCAATGAAGTAATTTATGAATAATCAAATGATTTCCACATTAATTACTATAAATTATTCATATCTTAACAGGATATTTAATTACAAAATATTATTAATCAGAATAATAGAACAGTATAATAAATAGCAATAATAATAATAATAATTAAAATAAGTTAATAAAAACTTAAAAGTAATTAAATAACTCATTAATTGATTTACCAGTCCAATCTATGAGTAATTTTAGTTATATTTACAATGAGACTGACCACAATAAGTAGTTGTTACACACGATGAAAGATGAATACAAAACTGAAAAGTCCTTGAAACGCTAAAAGGTAACTTCCATCTACTTTACTTCACCCTCACCTCTAAAATTTTACTTAATTTTCCATTTACTATTTAGTTTTATCAAAAATTAATAAAATAAATCTCTGCAAATCAAAACTTTCAAAAATATTACTACTATTTGACTAATTACTTTAGCATACCCTATTCTACTACTAATCCACTCATGAGACTAATACGCATCAATCATATAGTAGCCAAATTTCCACTAGAATTTCATACCGTAATTTAGTCAGAAAAAAACTGGATAGCATTGGATTGAAATATATCTTAAGCTAGTATAGATTATTCTGATTTAAATCAAAATTAACTAGAGAAAAATAATAATAAATAACAGACTTTTTTTACCTTTAAGATAAATTCAACAGATTTCCTGTTACTATGAATACAATATCAAATAATTCCAGTTAAAAAGAATTATAATCCGAATTCATTGCCTTTTTGCTACTTTAGGTAAAAATTCTTTATTTAATTCCATCACTTGAAACCAAAAAGGCAGACGTGACTCACGAAGTCATTAATCTGTAACTTGACCTTTACAGTCTTGAGTAGGACGTCACATTCTGAACTTCATTAATCTTAATTATCATCGACTGGATTAATTTTCTGACCAGCAATAGTAAGCATGCATTTTGACGATTGTTCCATGATATGCTTGATTGTATTTCATTCGCAACTTAGTCATTTAATAGAAATAAGCAAATAACTCACCTTCTGATTGCACTTGACTTGTACGTATTCACAATTACCTTATTATTTTCATTTAATGACTTATTACTGTACTTTTCTAAGTCTTAACAAATGCAACTTTACTAACTAACATATCCACTTTTCTTTAATTAAGTGCAACCAACCAATCCCAAGCACTTCTGATATCCACTCACAAATAATGTTGGAGCTAATGAAAGTAATCATCCATATCCGTCATCATGTAATAGATTTGTCTTGATAAGGATATCCGACACTTGGTCCCAGACCCAGCTTTGATACTTTGTAAACCAATGACATATTTTTTGCTTCCATTTATTTATTTATTGTATGTAATCTAAAAAAAGTAAATTTCTGGCAGAAAAGTCCATTCTAAATCACGAAAGCATATAAGTGGTGAATTAATCCAGTCTAAGTAATACTGTAATAATTTTCATTGCTTTCTTTACCGCAAAAACTTAAGCAAAATTAAAGACAAGGTTATTCGGATATTTAAACTCCTCCATCTCCTCATAGTTATAGTTCTGCAAGAAAAAAACACTTCTAATCAAAACTTAAAATCCTTACATGCCATAAAGTGCTCTAAAAAAATTCACTATTTCTTTATGTTTGAGGAACGTAAAAGTAAAAACTTCTCCGATATAAATCATGACACAAATTAGTATGTATCAAATATGTAGTAGCAAAAATTCTTTAATAGCAATATTGGCAGTGCATACATGACGATAATCACTACAATATTTAAGAAATAAAAAAATTGCAGAAAAAGCAATTCCTGCTTTTATCTACAAATGTAATCATTTAGCTCACTCACAATAGCAACAACAAAGTAAATACCAAAATGATGGAAAAGTAACTACTGTATTCTTCATAGTTCAATATTTATCAAAAAAGAAAAAAATCACATAATTATAAATATTGAAGCATTGAAAACAGAATCACATGAAAGAAATCAAAACGAGGCATTAACATTATATTTCCCCCAACACATTTGAAAAAATCCTATTATTTCAATTGTCCCATTTATTAAACATTTTTATTGAAACTCCAACTACTTAAAACACTAACATCTCAAATAATTTGTTAATGAGCTTCAAGAAATTTTTCACTCGCCAAGGCAACAGTAAAGTAGAGAATATGATTTAATAAGCAAGATCATACATCAACCAATGTATCAAAAGAAAAGCTGAAATTCTTACAGACGCAGTGAGGATGAATTTACACTAGTTAATTCAATCATGTTATTCTTCAATACCCAAATATAAAAATACAAATTTGCATTCTACCAATGACCAATAAGTAAATCACCATTTAAAATCTGAAGCTTTAGTAACAATTAGTCTTTTCTAATGCAGCCCCAGAAAAAGCACTCAATCAGAATATTGAAAAAAAATTAAGTATTTAAGAAAATCAGAGTTCAAACAAAGCCTCTACTATCAAATTTAGCTTGAACGAGTAAACAGTGAAACCCAATATAACTTATAGATATAATGAAAAAATTAGCTATCAAAATGAATAGACTTAGTAATTCAAAGAAAGTAAACGATAAAGCTCAGAAGCATGAAACACATTAAAGAATCTAAACAGTTCATATATTTCACAGGACATTATTCTCCACCGAATATTAGTTTTACATTTAAAAAGAACCATAATTTGAGAAAAAGCATACTCATCGTGTACCAATGGAGTAGACTTCTACAATTTCAAAAAGAATGAAATCAGCGCACATATGAGGGAGATAGAAACATCTACATCATATCGACTATTCTTATCTATGTGCAAAAAGTTAATCAAACTTTTTGACAGAGATGTACTTACAGCTCATTTTACTAGCAAAAATTTATAATAACATACATTCTTTAACATCGTCTGACATCAGACTAAAGTGATAACTCCAACATCACGATTTATATCGGTTTACTTTTTTCCGCGGCTGAAAAATCCTTTTCTTGCTTTTACAGACCCTTCAGCTGGAAGTGTTTGAGAACGAGCTGCTTCTTCTTGAGACTGCCTCGTAGACAGCTGTAATCGCCGTAACCATCTTTCCATGTCTTCCTGAAACTCACTTTGGAGATGTGGATGTGGTAATCCTCGATTTGTCATAACAAGATTCATCATGATGTTTAAGACCGATAAACTTTTAGAAAATACTATGTAAACTTACATCACTGGCAGTTTGCAACAAGTATTCTGCGCCCCCTGGAGATCGCAGTGATATCACATTCTTCTTTTTCGTGTATTCTGCAGCAACATTAACCGAACATCCCTCTAAATTCACTGGTTCTTCTCCATGGAAAAGAGCATTTTCCTCCATATGTTTCTGATCTTTGAAAAATGCTAACTGTGATCCATGTAATACAGCATACACTTTTTCCCATGACCTGCAGAAATATTCTTGTAAAATGCAGGAAATGCTGTTGTGATGGAAGTTTATATCATAGAAGTATTTTAATAAAACGTAATAATAATGAGTTATAAGTGTAATGCTGAAGCCTCTGAAAAATCAGGACAGATCTTACCTGTTTGATGCTTTGCGATCCAGTGCTTCATAAGTATGCTTTCTAATTAACACACCTTCGAAAGCACCACCAACTTCAACTCCTGCAAAAATAAATTTATTACAATAAGCAACAACAATGACTGGTAACTCGTGACACTCTTGAGTTTAGTCAAATCCACATTCCAAAATAAAGCTGCATGTTTCGATAAATCACAAGTACTTTTGCAGAAATTGCTACACACAATAAAGTATACAAACACTACCACTAACAAAATAAGAACTGAATAAATCGTAAGAAAAAACTTTTGAGATCAAAACTCAATAAAAAATTGATAAATGAAGTAGATCGATTCCCGCCTTCTTACCCCGCAAATCCTGTGCATCGAAACGCGCCGATCTTGACAACGATAATCGCCAGCCAGAAGGTTCTGATGATACCAGTCGATTATTACGGTCTGCAAGGTACAACCACAAACATTACTGTTAGTGCAACAGCTCTACACAGATACAATAAGGTACACAAAATGATTGCAAAATCTAAAATTTTCAAATCTTGTAAATCGCACATGCAGTGAAAATAATACAAAATGCCAAAAAATTCAAAATTTTTCAAATTAAAAGGCACAAACTTTGTGCACAAACCTTCCTATTGCCAAATTGAAACAACAGGTAAAAAGTAAAAAACTCAATATTATAAATGATGAATAAATTCAACAAGCTCGGTCATCACAGGAAATAATAAATGTTAATATGATCATATACCAGCAGTATGTTTTCTTTTTCGTAAGAGAGAAACACTATCTCCACTACTCATCGTTGTATCATGCAAATTTTCGGGACCCAAATCTGTAAAGCATTTAACCAAACTGTGTACACAACACATGCGCTCTACACTGCAACAAAGAATGCTGAGAAGCAAAAACAAAAATGCACGCTACAATTCTAAGGAATGTAGTAGAATCGAATAACAATTGAAATTGTTAGTTTTGGAATCAAACCATGCATATTTAGTGTTTTAAAGTCATTACTGAATGAGTTTTATCATTAATTTCCATGCATGTTTCAGAAAATATGATTTTGAACATATAATGCATAATGATAAATAAAAATAACTTTTCTCCGCGAAATGCCTTGTTTACCAGAAGAATCAATAATTACCATCTGATATTTCAGGTTCTCTCTCTACTGAAAAAGCTGTCCCAGTAGGTCGTTCGCCAACAGCTGCTGTTGGTGCTGCTCGTTGAGGAGTTCCACGGCGTGCATCACCATTTGGTGCTCTTCGATCTCCCTCGGCAATATCTTGCCTTTGCATCTCTTTTAGTTCAAACTGAAATCACACAATAAAGAAAGTGAATTAAACTAGCATAACTCACATTATCGCCACATGAAAGATATGTATAAATAGAGCAAAAAGGATTAATGAAAAAATCAACAAAAAAGTAATGAAAACAGTTTCAATTTAAAAGCATGAAATTAATATGAAGACAAAATTCTACATTTCAACAACGAAACTGAGGATGAAAAACGCTATAAGAGATTCTGAAACTGCACCGTTGTTAGTTTCTCAAGAGCCAAAAATCGTTCTTCTTGTGCAGCAGCTGATTTTTCAAATGCTTCATGCTTTTTGATTAATTTAATTGTCTCTTCAAGATTGCGCTGAAAAAAAAATGCACAACATTTTTATATTCCACACAAAAAAACTGATTTTTTTTGGAAACAAGGTTCCGAAAAAATGAAATAGATTAGTGGAGTCAGTGGTACCATACCCCATATTCTTTTGAAATAAGATATGGTTCCTGCGCCATTAACCAACTCTCGGCTACTGCTGCATCTCGCGCAAATTGATAAACTTCTAGTACTGAAAAGTCAAACATGTAACGAATTATCAATAACAATGAAGCCTAGTTTATAAACAAGAAAAACTAATTCACCCGTGCACTAGACGGTAGCATAAATAACATAAACTATTTTAAAAAATACTTAATTTTTTAATCAACGAACTTTACCAATCCGAGGAGACTTTTCATTTCATTCAATATAATTTTAACTTTAAAAAACTGCAACAGCTGACATGAAGGCTTACTCAATTGCAAATACTCCCAGCGATCCTCCCATCGTCGCATCATTTCAGCTCTCTCAGTGGTTAATTTAATTAATTTTTTTTCAATTTCCGATGATGCATAGTGTTTACGATTCAGCAAATCACGCCCTAACGAAATACATGCGTTAAAGTTCTCTTCTCTGGCATCAATTTCTGCTTTCAGGCTTTGGTGATTATTCATCAGCAATTCAACACCAGAGACATCCTATAATTCACAATATATCCTGTTGAATGAATCATTTAAACCCAAAATTTTATGCACATATTAAAAGCTAATAACTTAACAAGCCATTAATATTTAGATCTTTTAAAAGATATGTACACAAACCTTGGGTCTCTCCTGCGAACTCATCTCTCGCTTAACCTCATCCATCCATAGTAACAGATCACGGACCATGTTCATGAATCGGAATAAATCTGATGTATCACCCAGTCGCACCGAACGTGCGTCACATACTGCACGTAGCTGCCTCCATGCTTTTTGAACATCTGCTTCGCGTACACCTATTTCAACTGCTCGATCTCCTGCGTAAGAGTCACGTAATTCTAAAGCATCACGCTCTATTTGCGCAACTTGTTGTCCAATTGCTTCAATATCCTGCACAACTTATATAATAATAATCAATAATGAAATAAAAATATATTATTAATAATTATTTGCTTTAGAATGTGATGAGAAACTTTCATGAAATCTTATTCAAAGATAAGAATTTACCACATCATAGGTCACAGAAAACAATTAACTCACTTTCAAAAAATTTTGGTGCTTCCGTTTCAATGCACCTACCGAAGACGAATCTCGTCCAAGATCTTCGGGTATAGAATGATTTTTCTCCAAAATACGAGACAAACAATCTCGACAATCATGGAAAAATTTATGAAGCATTCTAGAAGCTTCCAACATTTGCATTCGTGTATCAATTAGTTCTAATAAGTTTTCCCATGCTTCATTTAAGCTGTCTTTCCACAGCGCAACTGTAGGAGCATCCGAATGTCCGAGAGCAATCAGCTTTAAAAAATTAGCAATTACAAAAAAAGTAAGTTGGATACCTCTATATATCCAATGTATTTAAAGCTCGAAATTTAAATAATTTTGAAAACCACCTGATCACATGCATCATTGGCATTTGCTACTCGATCCGATCCAATATTTTCAGTGTCTCTAGCAAACTGTAGAAACCGTTCTGTAAGCATCTGTACATGCTCATAATCCTGCCCTGTTTCCTGAGAACCAGCAACAACCTAAACAAAGAATACATAAATTTAAAGTAAACATTCATCAAAAACTTTAAATATTTTTAAAAAAAAAATTAAAAAGCGACGAAGTACGTACTTCTTTGTCAGCAATCCACTGCAGTAAATCATCAATCTCACGATGAAGTTCATATAGCTGTAATGTCTCATCTAAACGTTTCCGTCTCTCTTTGCATAAATCTTGCAAACCAGCATATAATTTTTCGATTTGAGATTGTCGCACACTTATCTGCTCCCTAAAAATTTTAGGATCAAAATAAAAGGATAAAATTTATCTATGAAAATCGTCATGAGGAACAAATCAAAACAAAATCAAATAAACTACTTTGATGATTGTTACTTTTAGCAACTTCGAATGAAAAATTAATTCCGATGAGTTTAAAGAATCACCACAGGGGGCGTTTTTCATCAATGAATTTTTGTGCCTGCAATGCCAAATTTCGAATCGTGTCTGCATACTGATTAATATCTTGTTGCAAGCGTTCATGCTTCTTGATTTGATTTTCTGTGGAAAACTCGTCTTTTCCACGTTCGTCCTGAAATCTTCATCACATATATATAAATTTTCATAATTGCTATAAATGAAAATCTTTTCTTATGACTGCTGAAACGGAACTGATATTTTTGAAATATTAAAAAAGAAGGAACCTGCATCATGTAAAGTTCTTGTTCGCTCATCCACGCTTCGGCTTCATTACAGTCGTATAAGAATTGATGTGCTTTTTCGCTCTCTGCCAAATGTTCTTTTCGTTTGTTCAATGAATCTTTTAAATTCTGAAATAGACATTATAACTGGAAATAAAGAATTTAAAACTTTTAAAAAATTCTGCAATAAACCACCCAAAGTACTACCTGCCACACTTGTTTCAACTCATCAATCTTTTGTTGAAATTCTGCACTATTTTCATGACCTTCATTTACAAGTTCCCAACCATTTTGACAAATTTTTTCAATCCAAAGTTCGTGATTATCAATTTCATTCTTTAATGATTGCATTTTCTTCTGCAGACGATGGCAATCGTATAAACTGTCACCAAGTTCACGTGTTTGTGTTAAAGGTAAACGTTCTGCAAATGATATGTGAGGAAAAAAATCACGTTTTTGCCAACCTCTTTAATGAGAGAAGTCATAATCTTGAGCAGCAGCATGTGTACAAATTTATAAAAAATCGTTACCTGCACACCACAACTTTTCATCTTCTACGTCACGTAGGAACTGGTAGGCTCGTTTTTTACGCTCTAGCTGACGACGTCGGTCATCAAGAGGTGCTTGCAGTCGCTGTAACTGTTCTTGTACAGCCAAACGATGTGCTTTAATTGCTTCCACCTCGTCTGGATGCATTTCTTCAAGTTGTGGTTCCATTTGCTGAAATCATGAGAGTGAACCTGTTACAAATAATAAGAATTCTGGGAAAAAGCTGAAAGCAAAAAAACGACAAAAATGGAAAATTATCCATGTGAAATAAAAAATTCTGTAAATTTGCTAACTCGCTTCCTTTTAAAATTGAACCTTGCTCTGCAACGAAATCTCAGTATTTTTATACCGAAAGCTACAAATATACCTGCAATGAATGAATTTGTGCAGCCCTTTTTACCATTTCACTTTCTATGAGTTGTTGCCTCTGCATCGCAACATTGACTGTTGTCAAATCTTGGCCAGTATCTGCACTTATCATTTGTTGTTGAAGTTGTTCAGCCCACTCCTGAAATAGTAAAAATAAAATAGAAACATGAACTTACTGACACAAATTCAATTTTATTCCATGTATTAAAGACTGACCTTCATATCAGAAATACTCTGCACATAAAGTTGCTGCCGATTGGCATCAAACAACTTTTGTCCCTTTTCCACAGTTGTTTTCTCAAGTTGCTCCCACTGTGCTGATAATTCAGTAATTTGTGGATCAATAGTACCAAGAAATTCTGGTTTCTCTTCTCCCAATTTGATTGCAGCATGACGAAGTTGGTCAAGTCGTTCCCGATTTGACTGCAATTCGGATTGGAATGCCTGATGACGCATGAACTTCGATGTAATTGTTTTGGCATCTCTGCAAACAATCCAAATAAACAGTAAATAATGTAAAATAAAAGTTTAAACACATATTTTTTATGAAAAAATATGATCATAGAAGCTTAATTAAACCTGTATGTTTCATCTTGTGCTCGAATCATTTTCTCTTCAATCCATTCTCTAAGTTCTTCACAATCAGACAAGAACTGTTGTAATGCAAGAGAATCTCTAAGTTTCTGCGACAGCTGCCCAGCCTTCTCACGATTTGCTTCTCGACGTTCTTCAATATTTCGAGCTTTTTTGTGAATTTTATCCGCTGCATAATGGCCATCACTACAGAGCTGGTCTCCAAAAGATACAACAGCCTAAATAAATTGATTTTGATATTTCTCACAACGCAGAATGCTTGAAATATTAAAATTTTGGTTTGGCATAACCATGTCAAAAATCTCTTTCACAAATTAATACCTTTATCTTTTCGTCATTGGCATCCATGGTAGTGAGAAAATCTTGGTGTCTTTTTTTCATATTTTCAGCTTGTTCTAGAGAAGTTGGTGCTTCATCTTTTGATAAATAATTTTCCTGTTGTGAAAGCATAACTTCTGCTTGCTTTGCATCTCGAAGGAACATCTGAATTAATTGCATGAATAAATAAGATATGAATGAACATTAAATTGTGAAAAGAAAGCTTACAATACCTGAAATTTCAAGCATCATACAATACCCGAAATCTCAACCATATTCGATTGCAATAACATAACTGGGGAGGAACTAGCCTGCAAATTCAGCCCTTGACTAAGAAGATATTGTCGATTATCCCACATTCTTTGCAATTCTTCCCATCCTTCTTCAAGTCCAGCAAGGCGTTGACGGAGGAACATATATTGTGGATCTGTCTGATCTTGCGTTACCCGATCACCCATTGCTCTCATCTAGGAAAAAAGTAATTGAATATAGTATAGAAAAAAAAGAAATCAATAAAACGAATCAACGAGATGTATTATAAACAATTAAAAAACTGAACAATTTAATCTTGCACTGACTTTAACATAATCTTCAGCATAGCCATCTATTTCTTCCCGAATCGCTGCGTGTTGATTCAATAACTGTTCAGCATCAGCAAGAGACTGTGGTTCATCTTCAGAAGCAACCTAGAAAATAATTTATTATATAAGAGCGGAATTAGGCGAAGAAATATCCACCACAGAGCAAAATGTTTTGCTTCTGAAGAATTAAAGAGTCTTTTGAGATCTACAATTTAAACTCAAGTAAAACAAAAATATTCTGCAAACCAGCAGTACACCTGTCTTTGTGTGGCAGTCAACCACGCTTGGAAGTGATCTAAATCACGAAGGAATCGTTGTAAATCACCGGCTTCATCAAGTTTTGCTTCATGCTCACGAACCCGCCTATTCAAAAGATCCCATGCCAGGTGCATTCGCTTTATATATTCTCGAATCTGTGCGGCCTGTGCGGGTTTCTCCTTTTCAATTTCAGTCGCTTCTTTTTCTAATGAATCAAGTTTAGCCTGAAAATTTAAAATCGAAATGTCACGAGTTATCAAAAATTATGTTTCTGATAGAAATATCTACAAAATAAAAAACAATGAAAAAAGGAAATCTTGAATAACGTACTTGAATTGCACCAAGATCACGTTCCATCATAGATAAACGACGCTGAAGTTTCATTACCCCAGTGAGATCATTAGTGAGTTCATCAGAATCTTCAAGTACTCGAGTTTTATCTTCAATCCAAGATACTGTTTCTTGGCAGTCGATACGGAAAGTTTCCAAACGATGAGCCTGATCAAGTTCCATTCTTTTTTGATCAACCATATCGCGTAGTTGAGCCCACCTAACAAAAAAGAGAAGCTATTATTCAAAAAGAGTTAATTATTCAATAAGAGATAAAATCAAATCTAGTGTTGGATGAACATTTTTCTACCTGGCATTTAGTTTATTTTGACGTTGCAAAATTTCATCTGAATTTGGATGATCAACATGAAGAAGTTGACGAGCCAACTCATTAACAGTAGCAACTTTAGTAGCTTGGTGATTCAAATCAGCTTCCAGTGTTTCGAAACGATGTTTCATGATCTCAACTTCTTCAAGATCATCACTAGGGACCAATGTCGCCAAAAGCTTTCCCTGAAATAAGAAAAGTCAAAGATTTTTTAGGAGAAACACACACACGTTGTACAGATCCAAAATGAAATCAAAAAAATGAATCAGAAATTTTCTTCCCAAAATATCAACTTACTTTTTCATCGATCCATGCTTCAATACTATCAGCATCACTGAATAATTTATAAAGAGATAGGGCGTCTAATAAACGTTGTTTTCTCAGTCGCGCAAGCTCTTCCAATTCTGCCTTGCGTCTCTCTGTTATGTCCAATCGTCTTCGTACGTCCGGATGCTCCCGAGCTTCAGGAGGCAATGACTCAGCCTGAAATTATTTCATTTCTGAGATTTTGTCAGTTTAGAAATTTTTAAAGACATACAGAATAAGATGTGGATTGAGAGAAAAAAGGAAGTTATGAAATTATACTTGAATATGCAGTTGTTTGATATTTTCATCAAATCTCAGCAAATCATCTCTCACATCATCGTGCTTCTTTATAAGTAACTGTACGGTGCCCTCATCTTTTCCTACGTCTTCGCTACCAATCAAACGAAGAGTATCAACAAGATATGCATCCACATCGTCAGCATCATTGAAAAATTGATAATAATTGACACCACCAACAAGACGTAGATGACGCTCTGCTGCTAATTCTTTTAATTTATTGAAATAATCGCGAACGATTGCTAGACGATCATCTATAGCTTCGGATCCTAGAAAAGATGAAAATGAATAACAATGTAATATAAAGAAATTGTTATAATCGAAATCAATAAGAGATGCATATAAGAAATATCAAAGAAAAAAAAAGAATGACCGAGCATAATAAGATAAATTTTCAATCTAACATATGAATGATCCATATTTATGTGCATAAAACATAATGCATGAAAGTTTTCTAACACCAACCAGGAATTTTTTCTTCTTGCAGTAATTGACCATTATTTTCAAGATCATCTAATCTTTTGCCAACCATATCAAGTGACTCTTCAGCATTTTTGTGTTTGGAAAGTAAAAGTGATACAGAAACCATGTCACGTCCTGTATCTGGAGAAGTAAGCACATGCTCCATGTCTTTCAAATTGTGCTCAAGTTCATCGACATCCCACCAAAACTGGCACAAGCGTTTATTATCTTCTAAGCGACGTTTACGTTCAGCTGCTAATTCTTTCAACTCAGAATAACGATCCAGCAATATCTGCATTCTTTCTTCAACTAATGCCGGTTCTACTGGTTTATATCCACTTCCATCAGGCCCGTTCGGTGACGTGAATTTTTCAGCTTGATTATTGACATTTTTTACGCGATTGCCAACAATATTAATATCAGACTCCAAAAGAGCATGTTTTTGCAGTAAATCTTCAACGTCCATCAAATGCTGACCAAGATCTTCCGATAATAATCGGGCCTGCAAATAAGTCAACATCAGTGCAACAATTCATCACATTTTTCTCTTTAATATAAAGTTGAAAGCTGAAAAGTAGCCAAGAAAATCCATCTATACTCACTCCATATTTCATGTAACTTGCAGCATTTTTTCAGCTATGACTTAATAAAGCCACTGTTTTCAAGAATAGCAAGATAAAAAAACTGTTTCAAAATTAAGGATTAGAAGAAACAAATAACCTTAATTTCATCACACCAGTCCAAAACATAGACCATTTCATGAAAAATTCGCTGAACTGCCATAGAAAGTTCTAGGCGGACACGACGAGCTAATAATAATTCAAGAAGATGATTCCATAGTCGCAATACATTTCCTTTTCTGAAATCATATAACAAGTCTTTAATTTAAATAGTTTTTGAATAGCTTTAATTTAAACATGATCTTCTCAAACTGAATGAGGCTTTCAAGGTAAAAAACAATGAAGAAAAGTATATTCTAAAATGCAATTAAGAAATTTATATTTTAAAAAGAATGACGGTCTTTTCTGACAACAAATACTACAATAAAATCAAGAAAATATTGATGAGATGGTAAAAAACATTACCTTTCATTTATTAAGTCGATATCATGATAGTTTTCTGCTTGTAATTCGCCTGCAACAGCAACAACTGCTTGCACGCGTTCCTCATATGCATAGATATCTGTCTCAATAGCTTCATGCTTCTTTGTAGCTGCCTTAACTTATAATTCATTGATTTTTACTATTTGATGAACATTGAACTTACTGCTATAAGTACAGATAATAAGAGCCTATTTGACTTGATTTGTAACAAATGCTGTAGAATTCAGAGAGTTTCATCACCCAGTACCAGAGTCTTACCTCTACACTTGCCAAATCTGTACCGAAGTTATCTTGACTAACAAGTCGTTGATTTTCACTCAACCACGTTTCTCGCATTCCCGCTTTACGATCAAATCGTGCTGCTAACTGTTCCAACTTTTCTTGCCTTAAAAAAAGGCAAATTTATGATTATTCAAAACAACCAACAGATGAACAAAAAAATTAAAAATGTTACAAATCATTTTATTCCACAGAAAATTTTAAAAAATTGTACAGCAAAATCAAATACTTTATATCGAAATTTACCTTATAATCTCTTCTTTCAATGCAAGTTCCCTTTCATGCTCTGCTCTTTCCAAATTTTCCCAAGCACGATTGATATCTGCGATCAGCTTGCCATCTCTCGGTAAATACGGTCTTTGATTGTTGGCACGCATGCGACTTTGAATAGTGAAAAGAAGCACTTCTAATTCACCTTTCTCATTAAACCTGTAGAGAAAAGTTACCGTAAACTGCACGAGAAAAACCACTCCTCTTTTTGAATACTCCAAAAAATTAATGCTTTTTACGTTCGAGCTTCTGTACTCAAAAAAAAACGAAATGCTGATGAAGCTGTGAAAGAATTACTACAATTAATCCAAAAATTTATTTGACACCTAAGACTCAAGTAGAACACTAAATTTTGCAAAATTTGAATAAGGTCTTCGGATATTTTATTACTTGGGTGGTTTCTCCTGAGTGCGGTAACTATTGAATTCAGCTAGTTGTTTTTGAACACCACTCAACAAGTTAATAAAATGACGGTCGTTTAAAGATTCAATGGTTAGTCGAATCCACTCCAGCAAGTCGCTTGATAAACGTTCATATTCGTTAATCAATCTTTCATTTTCCATCAGTTCATTCACAACCTAATTTTAAAACTACTATTACATGTAACTATATGCCCTGGAAATGATTAAAATCCACAAATCGTAAATGAGAAAAGCTGTGCTAATCGGTAGTTTTAATGCATAAGACATTTAATTACTTTTCCGATTCTTTTTCCTTGAATAGTTTCTTGTTTCATTTTATTGAAATAATGATAGTAAGTTACAACATATGTAATAATCGATTTCTCGTCCGGCACATCAACATTCACATCTGTAACATTCGAAAGACCAAATAATACACATGAAAATTACAGGCTACATATAGAAAATTTTAAATATTTTAGGAGTCGAGAAATGCAAACCTTCAGGGTCCAAAAATTTGACTAATCCAAGTTGCTGTTCAGCTACATCGAATGCATTACCCAGATTATACAGTGCGTTAGATTTTTGCAATTTTTCATATTCAATGAGATCAGGACGATGTTTATGGATAAGTGCATTGAATGCTAAACCATCACGCCATGATGTGGTAAAGTTTCGCACGTTTACATTGGGATAACCAGCAGTCTTCATTTGACACCACAGCAACAAAGCTTCTTTAGCGCTACGCGTTTCTTGATTATCCGTATCTTCGAATGTAATATCTTGAATCTGAAGAACAAACCAGAATTCTCGGAAAGAAAAAAGTATGGCAATTAAAAAAATTAACTCTAATAGTCATTTTAATCACTAAATTTAGGAACCCTGAACATTCATACGTATTTCTGACAAAAATGACTGAATTTGTTTCATATGATTAAAATGTAATGCACTGGCATTTCCTATCTCGCACTGATAAATCCCATAATTAGAAGAGAAAATACGAGCATTCCCTAAAAATCACAAAATGAATTTGTTCCATCCAATGGAAAAATTCTTTTACTGTGTTCGAAGCTAATGCTTTTACTAGTAGTATCACCAGAATTAACAACAAATTATGACTTCACATTAGGAAAAATAAAATAAAATCGACTACTGCCCTGTAAATTTTCAAAATTAATGAAAAGCTTCCAGCTCCCTAATGACGAAAATAAAATAAAAATCAAAGATAACCTGGAACCGCAATATAATTGTCCAAATAAGCCCAAGAGTTAAACGAGGATTGCCATCAACGACATCATGTGACCCCAGATTTTCTAAATGCACATGTTGATCCCGTAAAAACTGCAATCCCTTGTCCACATTCTCGAGACAATGTATGCGCATTTTTCCACGAGTTGGTTTCGGCTTCAACAAGCATTTGTTAAAAGTTGTACAAAATTTCTTGATAGTATTATTTAACGAAAATCTCACACGATTAAGTCATCTGAATCACGCAGCTAAAATTATCTAAGATTATAAAAGCATGGATATAAAGTTATGAACTTCACTACTTAAGAAGAGCAAACTCAGCTTGGTGTTAATCATCAGTTTTAATGAGCTAGAACCAATTATGGCTTTACATTACTGATATTCGTCTCTTTATATTTAGCTCCTTAAATTAAAAAAATCTTACAACATACATTTTATCCACCTAACATTTTATATTTAAGGCTAATTTCGCTTGCATAATTCGTAATTGTTATTTTTATGACTGTTTCTCATACCAAATCAAATTTCAAAGACATTCTTTTAATCGTAAAGGAAACTGAAAGAATGCTAACCAATCGTTCGCCTGAGAGTACTTCAAGCAGTCTGATAAGCATTTTACCATCCCGCATATCCAAATACAAATCATGAATTTTGCAATTTACGGGTAATAGATGAGAGTTCACCCATTTCGTAAAAGTTTTTTTCTGAACATTTTCGCGCTCATCTGGAAATAACTCGCATCATTCTTAGTTCAATCAGTTAGTAATTATATTGTGACTACAATACTTATAGTATACAAGTTAATTACATAACATTAACTAAATGACTCGTTTTTATTGATCGAATGTAGTACTAAATGTACACGTCAAAACAATTTATTAATTTATTCCACTCATAATTATTTTGCTTTACGTAACACATGAAACAATTTACAAAATAAAAGACTAACCAGCGAGGGCTTTGATACGTGAACGTTCAAAAAGTCTGGCAGACGAGTTTTCATCATATTCTTCGTAATCCTCGATTCGACCACCAAAGTCGTGACCTCGCACGGCTATATCTGTCGTCATCACCTTGAATGACCTTTGACATCAATTAATTCATCAGCAGCAAAAAAATTCCTTTTTAATAGAATTACTCACGCAACTCAAAATATTATTTTTGGATGTGTGCATACATTTAATGCTACGCTATATGAAATATGACGTACCAAATAACCGAAATTATAATTCAGTGACTGTAAATTATATTTCTACCTATTAAAAAGAATAAGAATACAAATTGAATGATTAAGTAACTTAGTCTAACTCTTCACTTGATTTCAAAAAAATTCAAGTAACTGTGATTTGTATTTGATAATTTTTTTATTACTTTAGCAATTATTATTTGACCAATTTAGTTTCGATATTAAATAAATATTGATTGATTAACTGACTTAAAAAAACATTTAATTAATAAATATGCTAATTAGCATCAAATATACGCAGTTTACTCTCGTAGTTAAAATTTGTGTTCAGAATTAGATAACTTTTGTAAACGCTTAAGTAATACACTTAACATATGCATTTTCTGAGTAAATAAATAATTACCCAAATAT